TTTCATTCTGTTAGTCAGTGAAACCAAAATACTATCTATTTAATAACACAGTACCACTGCCATGGTTGATAATGGAGTGAGAATTGTTATTTGCAGATTGTCAACTCAAGAGGAATAGATTTGTTGCTGTTGATTAAAAGTTACCATTTACAATGTTGATAATGGTTAAGATTGAATGATTACTTGTTGACATATAAAATAAGTCCATGTTACCAGTTTTTTCCGTGTGAAATAGATGTTTATGTGGTACTACAGATAAAATTCACCTGTGCAACTGATATTAACTGGATGTTTTAACAGCCTGAGCAAATGTCTAAAGACTAAAGAAATAAGAAGGTGCTATTGTTTCACACCTAGTCCTAATCCTTCTAGAAAAGAAAAAAAAAACCCAAAAAAAACCAAAAAAAAAACCCCTTCCCCAATAAACATGATATAAAACAGGAAATTTGCACTGCTAGAGTCCATGTTACACTTACTCTGACTATGACAAGGCCATCTGACACTTTTATGAGGAAATAGAAATACACTTTTCAAACACTTGCCTTCCTTTGCTACCTGCAATTACCTACAAGTCCCATTAAATGCTTACAAATCTCATTATCATACACAAATGAGCCATACAGAGTGTTGATGTACCCTGTGCTTGCGGAAGTGAAGCTTTATTCAGGGCAGAAGAAACATACGATCAAATCCTGTATTATCTATTTCTATCTCTGACAAATGCTGTAAATCCTCAGTAAATAAGAAGTGTCAAGCCGTAACAAATGGTTGAGGCTTCATTTCTGCATCATTACTGGTTTTGTTTTGCTTCTGTTTTTGTAACCTACTTTGCTTCTGTTCCTGTAATTCTCTAATTGCCAAAGAAAAGTGGGAGAAGTGCTGGATTAATTTCATATGTCTTTCTCAGAAAAAAAAATGCAGAGATTGGAGTATTTAAACTCAGCAAGAGACTCTAGAAATAGTTAGAACTGGGTTATGCAATCCTGGAAATGTCACCCCCACTTGGTTCATCTCACTTCCCTTCAGTTAGACTTTGCAGCAGCTTAGCTCCTCCTTATCAGCCAAGAGAGAAGAGCTTATAATTGGAAACAAGTGTTCATATTCACTCCTTCACCTTGGAGAAAATGAAATGTTGTCAGCAAGTTTAGGTAGTTATCAGTTCCCTGGGTAAAGTCCTGCAGCCGCTAATCATAGGCTGTCCTCACTTGTTAATGCAAAGGCTGCTGCCAACCTGGGAGAGAGAACTGCTGCCACATGGTATTTGACCAGCATGCTTTAAGCCCTTTCAGGACTGCCAGAAAGTTACTGCCCTGCAGTTTGAGAAGTAATTGTAAAAAATCCCCATCTTGTCATTATACCTACAGTTTTCTTGTAAGCCACCTTTGGGTAAAGACAGCTCTGCATATCTGAAAAAGCTTTAATATTGGAGGAACATGTACACAGAACATGCACATAGAGGTTAAAGTTAGGCAAGCTGCCAAAACAAAGTAGTTTTGCTCAGCACTGGCTTCAGCTTTCACACACCTGCTCTGTAATTCACCAACTTGGTACTTTGGTCTTCAGAAGGACCAATGCCTGGACAGAAATCAACAGAAGTATTTCTAAATACCTCTGAGGATCTGAGTACAGGTACTTTTTGTTTTATCAACAGAGTTCTATTTCTGTATTTTCATCTGGGAGATCCAAGGACACCAAACAACTGATGTTAAAGCATGTTTAATGAATATTGTTGGATTAATTCTCAAAACCCCATCTATTTTTAACTCTTAAAACCTGTACCTTTATTATAAAGTGCAGTTTTCTAATTAGCTTATTAAAGAAAATATTCACAAATTAAGTGCAGTCCAAATTCAGTTGTTTAAATCTTTAGGCACATTCTTTTATGCACAATTTGCAATATGCAGAGTTTCAGGCAAATGTAGACAAGATGGTTGTGCCCAGTCACAACAGCATGTACAGCAAGGTTAACTAGTCAAACTAAATGCCAACAAGTAAGAACAAACCCTATGCTCAGGCACTCAATTTTATGCACGTAATTACTGTGATTTTATCTTTATCACAGATATAGGATTATATTTTTTATTTTTCTGAAAGTGTAGTACTTATAATAGAGACAAAACCACCATCTGAACCAAAGAGCCATTCTGAGTATGAAAGCAGTGATTCAGATACAGTTCATTAACCTTTTTCATTTTAATTACAATCCAGTCCAAAATTATATTTTTTATATTACACCACAATGACTTCTTTAATTTACCGGAAGTATAAAAAAAAAGAAAAAAGAAAAAGTAAGATCAGAAAATCTTACTGCAGAACTTCATAGTTTTTCTACAAAATTTGGCTGCAAAATATTGCTCTAATAGTAATTTGTGTCAAAGTGTGTGTTATTTTACGGGTTTGACATTGATAGGAACTTTGATAGTTCTGATATGGATAGTCCTTGGTAATTTTTAAAGCACTGAGCATTTCCTTTCTCCTGGTTCATTTATTTAGGGTTTCTCTATTGAGCTTTTTAAACTTAAGCACTTAGTCTGAGTCAAATATTTCATTTGTGTTATAGTTTAGGAACTTTAGAAATTACGAGCTAATGGTGTAATTCAGTCCTGCCACTCCCCACTGGAAGCTGAAGGATGCCCACAAGCACTGGAGCTCAAAACCAGGAGACTGAACTATTGCAGTTGTCTCCCTGAAGAGCAGGCTCACAAGGATAACCAGGGTGGCCCTGGCAGGACCTCAGAAGCACAAGAGGGTCTGTGAAGCAGTTGTGTTCCCACTGAGTGAACTCTTCTCCCTGTGGTTTCCCTGCTGTACTCTTCCAGGTACTAAATGAAATCTGGCTCACTCTGTTCTCTGCATTGGCAGCAGGCTCAGCTTGGAAAGTCTGCTTTATGGCTTCAGATTCCACCTTCTCCAAATTTGCAGCATCCTGCCAAAGGATCATTAGAGTCATTTTTGTCATTTTGGCTTTGTAGGAGGTAAAAGACACTATCTTAAGAGCCAGCTAAAAACTCTCAACATTTTTTTGCAGAAGTGGAGATCTGAAAACCTTAAGAAATCTGTAGGAAAGCTTAGAAATGCATCATTAGCACTGGCCTTTTATACATACATATATTTGAGCTACATGGAAATCTTACAGGTAGGTATTTGCCTGTTCAGCTGTTTTCTCAATGGAACTGCAAGTGCTTTGAAGCCATGTCTACGCTATTCCCATTACCACCATAGAGGCCCCAGGCTGCAGTGGCTTGTCTGCATCTGCATTTTCCTTAGTTTGCCGGAGGCATATTCCTGCTTTGTCGAGGATGTAGTTCTCAAAGCCTTGACTACAATCATGCAAGCTCTTATATCTTCTTTGAAAAACACCTCTTACTCCTGCACAGACCCTGGGGCCTGTAGAACCACTGTCTGCTGCCATCCTACAGCATCTGCACTGTTCTCAATGCATTACAGAAAGCTACAGCTTGTGAGGTTGACAAAGGAGAAAGGATAACAGAGGCAGCAAAAATATACAGGTATCTCCAGATTCAAGGAAAGTGCAAAAAAAAACCAACCCATCACCTTGCATGGTTGCTGGAGGCCATTTGGCTACTGGGTCTCCTCTTAAGAAGTTGTTTCAGCACCAGCTGAATCTCTGCTGTTTTCTGATGTACTCAAAGCATGGCAGATGCCACCATCAAATTCATCTAGTTTTGCCAAATCTGGATATGCATTATGAGCATTGGTGATTCACATTCATCTCTTGCTAATTTCTGGATACAAAAGATTACTGTCATGGGACTATCTCAGAAACTGCTCAGTGCTGGAGGTGCATCACACCTCTTTCTGTTTCGCTTCTTCCAGTCTAGAAATGTATAGTTATTTCTCCAGGAAAACTGTGCAAGACTTGAACAGATCCACGGAATAGCAATCTGGCATTAGTGAACCTGTTGTGGCTGTGGATATAATGAAGTCTGCAGGCCACCACCATCTGTTCCTTTCCTGTCTGGTGAAAGTCTACAGCACCCTGGACATCTTTGCTGTAGTCAGGGGGAATAACACACTCAGCTGTGCTAGGTAATGCTAGCCAGTGTTCCCTGGACAAGGCCAGTGCTTAATACAATCACACAGTCTGAGTACCCACAGGCAATTCATGCACACAAGTGTGAGCCATGTGCACATTTACTACAGGTTTCAGAATTGCTTGCACTTCCCAAAAAGAAAAACCACACTCATCCCAGTGAAACTGATATCTGTCATGTGTAGGTGCCCACCCACATGGTGGCATACCCTCTGACTATGTCATACCCTCTTCTTCCAGCTGACTCCAGTGTACATGGGGACGTGAGCTATATAACTTAATCTGGACGGTGATTAGGTGCTAGGGAGCCTGATATGCCATTTCTATGAAACGTCCTTTCAATGAAAATGCTGCCACATTCACTACAATTTGACAAGTATTTCAGAGTCTGTGCAATTAAGTAGGGAGCTCTTTTCAAGCCTAAGTGGCTGCAGAAGTAGGAATATTTAGCTAGGACTTTTGCAAATCCTCAGCACATACATGGCTTTATCCTACCTCATTGTACATCCTTATCCAGGAGCAATTTCTAGTTTATGTGTTAGCCCTCCTAGTTGGCAGTCTTCAAAAACGTTTCTAATTCAGGAGCCCTAGGCACTTTAAGGGGGGGAAGGTCCAGCTGGTGAGTTATTCAGTTTTTGTGTGGGAATGCCTCCAGAGTTTTCTCTTCCAATGGGTGCTTTTAATCCACTCTCAGGAGCATTGCACACACTGTGTGACATGGAAAAGCGGGCCCTGTACTAGAGTACTGCAAGAAATAGGGTTGTGTAAATATAAGCAGATGTCTGCCCAGTGGTGTAGACTTCCTCCTGTTGTGAAGCTCAGTGCTGATAATGCTGTAATTCAAATAAAATGAGGTGGAAGTCCTTCAGACCAGTGGTTGAGGAGCTGTTCCTATTCAAGTGCCTACCTTACAGTGCTGGGTCACAGCCCACAGGGCTGTATCAACTTACCCAGAGACTGTCTGACATGTAGGGAAGGAGTCTTTTTCTCATTTCTAATATTCAGCTCAGTGCTTAACATGTCCACTTTGGACACATATTTGCTTTGCAACTTGCATATTTTGAAGACAAAGAAAAATGTAAAGCGTGCAGTACATCAGATTGCTTTCTTAAGGTTTTGTTTTCAGATATTTCTCAGGCTTCTATTTGTCAATCTGCATTACCTCCAATTACCTTGATCATTCATCTGTGGCCAGAATTTCTGGCTCAAACATTCTTCACACTCTCCACCCAATGCTTGGAGAGAAACTGTAATTCCACACAGTTTTTACTTGAGTTTTCAAATTATTTTTTTTCCTGTTTCTTTGCATAGGCACTAAACCATAGCTCTGGGGAATCTTTCAGATTTGCTAGTAAAGCTCACCAAAAGGTTTCATAAGTTTTTAATCTGAATCCAAAAACAAAAATGAAAGAGGAAATCATAGTTTAAAAATGAATATTACATACTCTATTATCTTTCTTTTATTTGCCTTCAGGTCTGCCTACTTAAAAAAAAGCAGGTGTACTTGTTTCAGTACAATCTAAATCCTTAATGAATCTTCAGCAGTAACGGGCAACACTAACATTTTTGCAAGTTTTTTAATATAGTTTGACAGGTAAGACTATGGAAAGCAGTAGTCCATTCTTTTGTATTTATGAAACAATCTGAGATTCTATAATATCCTGTCCTGACATGATCTATTGTTGTACTCTTATTTCTTGCCCCTGTTATCTGGCTGCTGCTGGAAATTTTACTCATAGGTGCTGATGAGTTGCCTTTGAATACAATCATGTATTGTTGCCTGTTCTTTCAGTCTGGTTTATTTTGGGTGATAAATGAACATCTCGAGGCAGTCATCAGACTTTAATTTGGTTGAACAGATCATAACTGAAAAATCATGATTTTCCTAGAGCGCTGTTGAAGAACAGCCAGTAATTTTATATTTAGCCCTACATTGTTTGCTGTTTATTGGTTCTCTGCAATATGCACTACAATGCTTTTTCTAGTACTTATGGAACTACTCATACATGTTTTACTATTACCAGCAACAAAATATGTTTACCCACAGAGCATGTGATATTGGGAAAAACATAGAAACACAACACTATTAACTGTACACATCAAACAGTATGCTTACTTGCTTTACATACTATTAAAACTAAAAAGTCTGGAGAGTCTCAAATTTGAGAAGTTTTATAGTTTGTCTTGCAAGGCTTTTAAACATATAGCTGCATATAAGTCTTTTTCTGCTGTTATGTTGATGTAAGTGTATTGGTGACAAGAGATTCACTTCTGATTTATAAGACTGGAAAGGTTCTACCTCTTCCTCTCCATGTTGCTGTCTTCGCTTTCCTTTCTCTTTCTTTCAGCTAATACACCCCATACTGATTGAGCTGGAGTTTCCTTTTGTGTTTCATAGCTGCACTGAGTTTGAGGACTAGGAAATAAACTTATCTGAGCTCCTCCATGACAAAGACCACAGGATATTGGCCTCCACTGAGCCAAATAACTTGCATGTGGCTGAAAGACATCTTTCAGGAAGCACTTAGTCTTGCTTTGAAGACAGTGAAAGAGGGAGACTGCCACTTCCCCACCTGCATTTTCTTGTACTCTCAGTTTTCCATCTTATAGACAATGTCACCCAAAATGATATCTTTTCTTACTTTCGGCTACTGTTAGTTGTTTAGCACATGTAGAGTTCTAGTAAAGTGATATACAGGAAAGGAGCTGGGATCTCAAAAACCCTTCTTGTCATAACAATCACATCAACTACAGCGGCAGCCAATTTTAACGGAATTTACTTACTTGAAGAAAGCAAAGTTTTCTGACTGATTTCTGATACAACAGAATAAGCATGGTCAGCTTTCAGGAAAAACTTTCAAAGAGCCAGGATCTCTTTGCTGTTTTCAAAGAAACACCATCAGAGTACTCTTCCCTCCACTGTAAGTAAACCCAGTAGCACTGCAGGCTTTACACTCTGGGGACCGTGAGGCTGCTGGGACTTGTAGGATTCCAAGGGAACAGAAGGGAGCCCAGATTGTACATTTTTTCTCTAGCTCTAATGTTCAGCACAGCAAGGCATCTTTTGTGCCATCTGATGCATCTCAAAAAGGATGTGTGTGAACGATGCTTCTATGTGGCAATCACTCTGTACTGCTGAAACTCCAAGCTAGACTCTGTATGGCAGGTTTTGAGCCCTAAATCCTAGATCCTTTGAAATTTGTTCCCATGTACCTATCTGGTACAGTTTCTAGTACTGTCAGTTAAAGAGCAGGACTTTCAGTAGTCCTCAAAAGTCAAAATCCCTTGCTAGGTCCACTTTACATTAGCTGATGCATCACATAGCATTCTGTTCAACTACTTATCCCCCATTTTTCTGGTATAGATATTTATTTTGTTACAGGTGCAGGGGAAAATTCTATCATCATTTCCTAGCAAATTCAAGGCAAAATATTTTTTTACAGCTTTTTTTTTTTTTTTAAGTTAGTCTGTGTACACCTCATTCTGAAGAATGCCCTGGAACACAGTGTTACCTGCCAAAATCCATTACCTTCTGGATCCCCTAAATTCATTGAAAATTATAGAAAGAATGAAAAAAAAACAGTTGTATGACCTGCTGCCACAAGCAGATAAAGCTTCAGAGAAGAAACATTTGTGGCCATGCTCTCATGGGGGGCTGCTGGGAAGTAATTTTCACTAGTTATGCTTACAGATCAGGAAAGCAAGGTAAAAAGCATGATGATGATAACAACTAGGTGCGGTATCCATCATGAGCCTCTTTAGGGAAGCAATTTTCAAAGATGTATGTGGAAAAAAAATACCTGTTGAAAGCCAGTTAAAGTATTTTGTGGAAGTCTTGTAACAGCATACATCTTTTGTGTAGTTTGGCCTGTAGTTCATATTTACTCAGATTCTCGCTGTAATCCCTGCTGCAGTTGCCTTATGTTATATGGAGTAGCTGAGAAGCATATTATTTAATTATGAGAAAATCTGTTTGGAAGATAGCTTGACTATCCATCTAACTGGATATGTTAAAAGGTCCCTTTGCTAACATATTATATCACATTCATATAAAGCTGCCTCATATATGGTAGTCCAAATCATATGTTTTAAATAGCTTCATGTGGAAAATACTTTTACTTTATTTGGAGCAAAACCTCAAACACTGTTTCTGCTGTATCAAGGACTGCTGCTGTCAGTCACTGGAATTAATTCAGTCAGAGACTGAACTAGTGAGAAAGTTCCAGAATATCACTCCAACTTCCAAAAATGTGTTCAAAACAACATTATGTACTTTTCAGCTGTAAACTCTCCTGCCTCTCTTCCCAGCATCAAGTAAGCAAGATACAGAGGATTGCTGGAAGAACCAGAGCAAACATGCACTAGAGCACCTGATAGCACATCATGCCAAGTTACATACTGCGCTGGTAAAAGTCCACTGATATTCTGAGAAATAGCAAACAACACTGACTTTACCCTAAAAGTCTCTGGGGCTTCAGAGGTAAACAAAGTTTTACTATCTGTGCAGCCTTCTGTAAACAAGCTAAGCTTAGTACTTTTTAAGGAAAACTTGGCTTGACTTAAATACAGCCTCCAGTGAACATCAAAATAATAATGAGTGCACCTTCCATAAGCCATTGTAAAGTCTTGTATGATTCACTTGCAGTGAACTGCCCCACCCCATAGACTGAGAATGAGCAGAGCAGCCACTCTCAGACTGGCCCCAACCCTGGGTTTGTAAGGTGGGCAGGAGGAAAGGTCTTCCCCTGCTGTGAGACACACTCAGGACTAAAGGCCAGTCTCGGCAGAAGTGTCAGCCCAGAGTACAAGGTCAGCTCAATGCTTAACTGAATCCCCATCCATACGAGCAAAACCTTCCTGTTCAAACTGACAAGGGGGGTAGTGCTTATGCTGTTTTGCTGTGGGAGTTTCCAACTCCTACGCTGCTGATGCTCATGTGCAGTGCAACAGCTCATAGGGTCCCTCTGCTAATACTGACACTTTCTGCACACCAGACCCATTCTGCACGTTTCTTTGCTCTTTCTATATTCCTGTGAGTTAAACCCTGTGGGTATTGTTCAAGTGTGGTAATTTAAGATGACCAATACAGTGAAGTCAAGCCCTAAAGGAAGATTATCCTGTTTCTGCTGAACCACATTTAGAAGGATCACAGCAACAGGAATAAACTGGTTCTTCCTACTTTATATTTCCAGCCAAGGCATTCAGCTGCCTTGACATGAAAAATCTCAAAAGTAAATTTCCTTCATTGAAATGTAAAGCTAGAGAGTAGTCTTCAAAAGATCTGTGTCAGCATCTCCTTGTTTCAAGATTTCATATTAAAAAACATGATGAATGCTATTTTATGCCTGTATGTTCAAGCCAAGCAGTTTATGGTGTTAATATAAATATATGGTTTAATATAAATTTTAAAGCTTTTGATAATGCAAACCTCAGCTTTCTGGATTTCCTTTTTTGCTCCTTTATGTGTGCTGCCAAAATATTTGTTAACCAGCTGCAACCTTTACCCTAGTTTCACTGGGTACTAAAATAGTCTGTTGTGCTGTAGATGTGTTTCTCTGCTTTTAATTTGCTGTTCACGTCTACAATGGCATGTAGTAACCAACAGCCTTTTGTGAGGCAAAGGTAACCAATGGAGTACAGCAAGAACAGAACACAGAAAACGTTGAAAGTTTAATCCTACATACAAGCAACATCCTCTGACATTTAGGCAAACCTGAGTTCAGATTTCTGAACTGAATACTCATGACCATGAGTCACATCTAAGGCATTTTTTACACAATCTCTTTTTTATTTCCTATAGACTCTCTATATTCTCATTTAATGTATAAACAAGGAATTTTAATGTGTATTAAGCTAAAATGCTTCAGAACCTCAAAACAGGGATGAGAGAAAGAATGATTCTGATTTTGCCTCCTTAATGCAGCTTGGAACAGTTTAAATCCTCCTTAAAATAGTCA